CTCCGATCTGCCAACGCTGACTGGCGGATCGGACGGGGGAGGGGGCGGGTACAGCTGGCTCTGCCTCTAGATAGGCAGAGCCAGCTGTCACTCACGCAGCTGGGCAGATCCCGTCATCTAAGTCAGGATCCACTCCGGCTGCGGCGTCTCAGTATATAGGGAGCTGTAGCTCCCTATATACTGAGCTTAGGGTAATGGGAGGACACTAGTTTGTGTCCTCCCGTTACCCTAAGGAGAACTATGGGGAAAAACACTGACCCCCATAGTTCTCCTTTTAATTTTAACAACCTTGCTTCATAGTTCAGGTCCTCGAACCCCTTAATGACTTTGGTTGCCCTCCACTGGACTTTTTCCAGCTCAAGGACATCTTTTCTGAGCATCGGTGACCAAAACTGGACCGCATACTCCTATGTGTTGCTGTGTGCTGTGGGTGCAGTGTCTGTAGGTACATTGTGTGTTTTTAAATACACTTTACAGGGGTATACTTGGGTTACCAATGATCTCCTATGATGAGATGCACGTCTTTAGGAAACCACCGCAAACATGCAGCAAGGAGATTTCATTGTGCCCACAACTCACCTACGACATGCAGATGTGAACAAATCCTAAAACCAACATGGCTGACCCTGAGCATTAATAATGAGTTTGGACGCTCTATAGCAAAACATTAAATTGATTGTATAGAAAATAGAATTGACCCTGTTTCAAGTCCTCATTTGCATGGCCAAGAGGACCTAAGTGAAGATTAGAGGATACTTTACAATTGACCAATAGGAAGGTGGTCGGTTGGGCGGGGTGTTCAAACTGCTGTGTATAAAAGTGTGTTGTGTGCATCCAATAAAGGAGATTCCTGTTTGAACTTACATACAGCCTGACCGGTGTTTGTTCTGAGCTTTCACAACTGGATACGAACGACACAGAGCTGTAGTTCGAATGCCGGTTTATCGGAAGACCGAAATATCAGACGCTGCGGTCTGAAATTTGAGGAGTGCCAGGAGAGTGGAACCGAGTGAGCAAGGGGCTCGTTACAGTAGTGAAGCAATTGACTAAAGATTTCCAAGCCCCCAATGTAGGTGCCACCAGTTTCCTCCACTGTAAAATGATGAGTTTCCTAGCATAAAATAGCAATTAAGGAGGGTACGGGACACCACAGTATGAGCCAGTCCGTCAACAATACCCAAGATACACACTCCAGGCGCTATAGGGATAGTCATCTCCCGACACCTCTGCTATCACCCTAACCACCTCCCGCCAGTAGTCCAAAAATCTAGGACAAGACCACAGTACGTGTAGTAGGCCAGCGGGTTCATGAGGGCATCTCCAGCATTTAGACGACACTGTAGCTCGCATGACAGCGAGTCTAGCAGGTGTAAAGTATGCTCTGTGGAGAATTTTATGTTGAATCAATCTGTCTCTAGCAGATATCAGGATAGTCAGTGGAGTATCCCAGACTTCGTCCAGGTCACCTTCCCCCAGCTTCGGGCAGTCCACCTCCCAGGCCCTCTGGCACCGTAGAAGGGGCCTCGCCCCCCTGAGCGAGAGAAACTGATAGATGGCCGAAAGGGACTTGGCCAGGCCCTCCTTACGAAGGAGGCACTCTATTGTGGAAGCTGAGAGAGAGAGGCGGCCTCCCGGGAACTGGGCAGAAAAAGCGTGACGAAGCTGGAGGTATGGAAACAGGTGACTGTTCGGCAGGGCATAGGCCGACCTTAGATCCTCAAATGTACGCAAAGCCCCATTCTGCACAATATCATTTAGTGTAAGTACTGCTTTTGAGGTCCAAACTATGGGGTCCTGGATGGACTCAAAATGAGCAAGGGAGGGGTTCCTCCATAGCGGGGTATAGGGTGATAACTCCAGAAGCGGACCCTCGCTCCGAGGATGCAACGTACTCCAAGCACGAAGAACGGCCCTCATTGAAGGAGTCTGTCTATAGGGGGAACCCCTATAGACAGATTTCCTCCGTAGCGGGGTTCCTCCATAGTGGGGCATAGGGCGATAACTCCAGAAGCGGACCCTCGCTCCGAGGATGCAACGTACTCCAAGCACGAAGAACAGCCCTCATTGAAGGAGTCTGTCTATAGGGGCAACCCCTGCCTCGCAGTAATAGGTGTCTTAGAGCCTCATAGGATCCCACTAGGGCCGCCTCTAAGGTAACCGCTGGGTCCACATTCTGTTCTGTAAGCCACCTATGAGCAAATGCAAGTTGTCCAGCCAGGACCGCCAGACCTCCCTCCCCCCACGGAAGCTGCAATACCGACATTTTAATCCTCGGCGCTCGCCCATTCCAAAGGAAATCTGACATTAACGCATGTATGGTCTTAAAGATCCTTTTCGGGGTCCATACTGGGGAGTTGCATATAATATATGACAGGTGGGGAAGAAGTTTCATTTTTATGAGATTAATCCTGCCAATAAGAGATAAGGGCAGGT